GGACCGCAGCCCCATGTGCTCATGGCGGGATGGCGCAGCTCCGAGGGGGTCTGCCAGAGACGGGGCCCAGGGAGGGGGACACGTGCTCAGCAAAGGAATAGGCGCAGCCCTCGTGGGATGCTGGAAATGGCTGGATGTGCCTCGTTCTCTTCCTTGGCAATAGAGGCAGCAGAAGCCAGATGCTGTTACCTACATTACAGATGTCTCAGTTTAGATGAAGTGAATCCCACCTCCGAAGCTGGATGCTGAGCGGGCCACAGAGTCAGGCAATTTCAGCGCAGGCAGGAAGCGTTAACCCTTGCTTGTCGGCAGAGAGCAGGGAGAGGCAGCAGAGCAGCTCCCAAGAGATGGGAGGCTGCAGGGGGAGGCAGCTGCCCCCATCACAGGGTCAGAGCATCACGGGTGGCCCCCAACCTGCCCCTTCCTAGCAGCTGAGTGCAACCCCTCTGCAATCCAGCTAAACAAAATCTTCTTTTTTTTTTCCTGCTCACATCAGCCTAATTACATCCATGTTCATCATCTGCTGTTGTATTAAAGTAGGCAACACCTAGTCCGCGGCCTCAAATCCTAGAATGAAAGATACCTTAGATTTTCGTAGCGTTAAAAGAAACAGTATCCATGGCAAGTCTCCTTGTTGAGGGCAGTTCGGATCAAGCCATGTTTCTAAAGGCTCCTGGAAGGGTTCAGGACTGCAAGTCCCAGACAAAAGGTGTATTGATTTGCCTGCACTGAGGTCTGTTAGCACGAGGAGGAGGAAGTTTCTCCTACAGGGACAGAGTCCATCATTCACCTCCCTGCCCCAGTTGGTGGGGAGAGTCTAGTTCCCTCTTCCCAGTGCTGTGCTGAGAAACAGTGTTTGCTGATAGTGGCTTTCCATCCCAAAGGGGAAAATTACTATGAAATGATTACAAGGACCATTTGAAACCTGAGAAGAGGATGTTTTTAGTAATGGGAAAAGAGCCAAATACCTTAGAAGAGAAATATTCCAGCTTTAAGAATTAATTACCACTTCCCAGTAGTGCAGGCTGAACTATTAAATAACCTTGCGCAATTTCCTGGCCAGATATATTTTAATGCGAATGTCATGCACAGATCAAGAGAGCAATATAGTTCTCTGAACCGCGACCCTGCGAGCCTGCCCACACGGGCAGTTCCTTTTGCTCAGGCACGCACCCAGCAAAGGCCAGAGTACTCCGCACATGACTAAAGCAGCTGCCTATTCAGAGCCACTCACAGCATGAAGGCCTCTGGCAGATGATTTCCCATACGGAAAGCTATTTTCGGTCAAGGAAGAAGAACATGGATAGCAAACAACCAAGTGTGTTTCTAAAAACCACAACTGTAACATCTATGGAGCTCTATAATTATTATGCAAATTGTACCACGTTGCTTTTCAGTTATCACTGAAACGTCACAGGTCAGTGGAATGGGTGCTTGATATCTATATCCTAATCTTTCTCTTAGTTGTGCGGGAAGAGAGTATACAACTGGTTATGCTCCAAAATACACACTGGCATAACAAGTCACGATCTGTGCTTACACATCTGATCCTACTTCTTTTGGTCAAGAACACCAAGCAATGAATAGTAAGAAAACCTCTTAAATCAACTACCTAGAGATCTTTTTTGTGAGAAAAAATGTTCTTTCTCCTTATTAGGCATGGGGAAAGAGGAGAGCAGCAGGAGAGTGAGGCAGAGAATCAATGCATGGGGTTTTTGGAAGTCTGAATTGTCACTAGGTATCCAAAACCAAAGTTGAGCTGATGTCCTGAGAGCCCTGCTCTAATTCATAGTAAGCTTTTCAGGTGTCTCACTCTGAAGGAGGATTGAATAGTCCTCTAGAGCAGTGATACAGCAACAGCATCATCCCTAGAAGTTTTGCTCTCTGGAAAGGACAAATGTCTTCAAGCCTCGGGGTTTAGGAGAGAGGAGATCCTGCTCTCTTGCCGGTGTGAGTCTGGTAGAAGTTGGCAGGAGCCAGTGGTAATGTGCTAGTGCAAAAGCTGCTGCAAAAGGACAGCTTTCCCTAAAGGACTTTGTTCTGAACCTATTCAGACCTTCCTAACGTTGCCCAGCCAGAGCGGGAAGCATAGGGAAAACCCTTACAGCATTTCGAAGAAAATGTTCTTGGCACTATCTAGGGAGCTGTGGCTCCTGAGCCAAGACGCAGGGAGCAGGTTGATGGCAGCTATTTTAAAATTCATGAAGTCTTAAAGCATTACTGGATGATTTCAGTTCTGGGAGATAACTAGACAAAATAGCCCAACAGGGGAAGGATGCTGATGTAGGAAGAGCCATAATAGTGTGTGATGTCACACACGTCCCTGCTTCTGAAATCCCACTCATCCTTCTTATCTGGGGAAATTGCTGCGATTGTGTTTCATAGCGGAGGTAGTGGGAGGAAGGAGACAGACATGCATTTTCCTCTGATCAAAGAGAAAGGCCAAGCCATGCCCCACTCATGCTCAGGAAGCCTCCCTGGCCTCCAAGTGCGGGGGTGGCTTTGAAACTGGTGATGGCAAGTATTTGGCAGGCAGGGTGTGAGTGGTTGTGACCCAGGTAAAACAGCTTTGAATTTCCCTGTTAGCACCGGAGAGGCAGCTTTCCTTCCCAGCATGCTGTGCACCCCGTCTCACGCTCACCCGGCACCGAAGGAAACGCCAGGTTAAAATAAGCCTGCGGCCAGTCGTCTTGCTCTGCGCTTGGTCGGTCCGTTCAGGGCTGCGTGGTCTGAGTAGTTCTGGGTGCCAGTAAATCTGTGTCAGCTCACTCTGACACCTGGCCTAAATGCCCAAATTGAGGACAAGTTTCCTGGGGTAAAATGTATACCTGCACCCAAAAGAGTGATCCAGAGATGCCCCAACTCAGCTACAGCCTTACATGAAAGGCCTCTAAAAGCAGCTGGCCCTCCTTCACAGCTTTGCGGTTGCTTTGGGCACAGGAACGTGTGTCCTGCCAAACCCGGTGGGAGGTAAAGCTCAGATTCCTTCTACTATGTCCACGGCGGGGCCTCATCCTGCTCCTGGAGCACTCCTGGGCCAGCCTGACTGCAATATCCCAGCCGTGGGGGGCGTGCAAGGGGGATGGGGGTGCTTGTACCTCCTGCCTCAGGTGCTGAAAGCAGGTGCCTAGATAACAAGATCTTCAGGGTCTCCCAGAAGAAGCGAGGGGAGACGGGGAAGGGCGCCACACTGCAGCCCCACAGCCAGCAAAGCCAGCTGCTGCCCAGAGCATCGCCCCATCCAGCCACCGCCGAGCAGCCCTCCGGGCACTTTGCCAGCACACGGTGCTGCACGACTCCTCCATGGGCAGGACAGAGGGGTGCCAGGAGGAGCCAGAAGCAGGGGAAAGGCAGAAACTCCATGAAACAGCTTGATCAGGACAGAAAACATAACTTGGAGCCAGACCTGAAGTTTCCATCTGCACCAAAGCAGGGCGCTGAGCTCCTGTTTCCCTTGGGGGACCAGGCCCCAGGGGTCAGGCATTGCCTCACACTGTTTTATCTGGCCTTTGCTAACTGCCAGGAGATACAGAGAGGTCCAGTACATGTTCCCACCCTTTTAGTGTATTTTATACACGTCTGTGAGCTGAATACCTTCAGCAACCTGCCGGGTGAAACTCTACTGAACGTGCGAATCAACTTTCGTCATCGCAAGGAACCTGGAATACGCATGCTGCAGACTGTATTTTACCGAGCTACTTCCCAGAGATAAAAGCTACAGTTAAAAAAAAAAAAAATCAAAATCATATCACAGTGGTATCTTCTCTTAAAAACAATTTGTTATCCCTGATTGCAGTACAATTAAATGATGGATAAATAACCCCCTTCTGATTTTTCAAACCCCTTTGATTTTCAGCCCTTTTAAACTTCCCCATGACTGCATAGCCCATGTAATAAGTTTGAGTCTGCTAAGAATGTACTTGTTTTCCTTAACTGCATTTCGCCTGCTCCCCTCAAGCCCCTGAGCCCACAGACCTGGACCTTAAGCAAAGAGTCGCACAGTGAAGAAATCTTTCAGATGAATCTCAAACAGGACTTTGATTCGCACAAGTCATCACCGTGCTTTTGCACATCCCCTAATAAAATTTCAGATTTTTTGACCCAGTTTGCAGTCCCAGTTTCAAACATGGGAGTGAGCTTCTGCTCCTCCAGGTCTTGAGCTGTGCCTCTTCAGCTTTCACCATCCCCTTGGTAGGGCAGCACAGGCTCTTTAAAAAGGAGAGGTACCAATACTGTGCCTGGACTCAGGTTGTGCATTTGGCCCTGGATGGCAGAGAGGGCTTGTGGCATCCACTACCACCCAGAGCTGGCATAGGCCTCTGATGCTCCCTCACACAGCAACTTTGCTAGCTTGCTCAGGCCCACTTCCCATGACCACCACCACCACGACTTTCATCCACAAATCAGGAGTGGAGACGGCCCACAGTGCTTGAAGTCAAAGGAGACTGAAATGGCAGATACTGGCACAGAACAGCAATCTCCCTGCAGCACATACCTCAGAGGCATATTTGGTAAGTGCAAAACACATTCCATGTTTAGACATCTAGCAAGCAGTTATTAAAACCATTCTAGCATGGCATGCAGCTTACATGAAGTAAGTGTTCCATGTCTCTGAATAGCTACAAAATTGCACTGGGGAAAATAAAAATATGATTCCTTTTAACTGCAGCTATTTTCTGTTAACAGAACCTACGCATCAGTCCCTCCTATCATACATCTCCCGAGATAGCGACAGCAGTCCCACGCACATCACCGTTATAGATTGCTGAGCACTTTGGCCCACGATGATTTGCAGGAGAAACCCAATCCTCAGGTTAAAAGCACTGAGCTCAAGAGATTAATTTGGTGGGATAGATCTATAAAGCAGGCAGCACAACTCATCAAAAGTTGGAATTAACGTGTAGCAGCTTATCACTCAGGTAGTTACAAATACAAGCAAAACAGGAGTCTTTGAAGGAAGAGAGAGAGACCCTATTATAAGCAGAATTCTTACAGCCAGGTTCATTTTTTCATGTTTAATGATGCTTTTTTTCCTCCATATAAAGCTTTCCATGCAAGGCTTTCCAAGTATTTTATAAAGGCAGGTGAGTATTACATCATCATCCCAATTTTACAAGTAGGAAACAGGCCCAAGAACAAAAGTAGTTTGAACAAACTAAAACAGCAAATCCCAGACCAAAACAGAAACAGAGTCAAAGTCTCATAGCAAATTCCCCTTCTCTAACCACCAGAGATTTTTACTTGGTTGCTATGCAGCATTCTTTTTATTTTGTGTAAAAAAATAAAAATAAAAATCAAACTAAAGCAAATGGCAAAAAATTGCAAACTTCAACATACTTACTTTCACATCGCTGGCATTAGTACAAAAATAAAGATTTTCATTAACTGGTTTACAAAAATAAAAAGTCTATTGAGTCACACAGGATCTCATCAGTGGGGTTTATTTGACTTTGGAAGATAAAGCCTGTTTGAAACGTCTTTTTAGATCTTGCATGTTGGGAGATTTGGGCCGAGGGATGATGGATGACCGTCTCTTGTCTGTGCTGCTGCTGTGGTGTAGTTTGCTGACCTCCTTGCAAAGATACTGGAAAACATCGCAGACACCGTGGGAGTTCTCACTCGTGGAAATTTCTAAAAACAGGCTGCCCAGTTCATTCGCCAGCTGTAGTCCGTCTTTTGTCTGTACTTGCCTGGCATGGAGAAGGTCTGCTTTGTTTCCCACAATTATGACGGGAGTCCTGGCGTCTGGATGGACCTTGCGGATGTGTTGATAGAGAGGTCGAATCGACTCATAGCTACTGTAGTCTGTGATGGAGTAGACCAAGAGGAAGCCCTCTGCCCACTTTGCGCATCTAGATAAAGCATCCAGCGCCTGCACAGGGTCCTCTTGCACCTGCAATATGACAGAGAGGGAAAATTTCACATTGGGTTGTGAAAATATAAGGCTTGCATCATAGACAGCACTGTTTAAACAGGTCCAAAGAGAAATGTGAGTTCAGTGTTAGGAGATGTTAACCCTGGCTGTTTCCCTTTTAGGGAACTTAGGCTCAAAAGCTGAGCCCTTAAGTGGTAAAGAAGAACTGGTTTAATTTAAGCAATCACGCCAAAAATTTGGGACTTCTAATGCTTGTTCTTGAATCACTTGGTTAAGCGTGCTGCAGTTCACTGCAGTTCAACTTTTTTTATTCTCAGTACTTCACACAGTTAAGGACAGCTCAGGGCTTTCTCAGGAAAAGAGGTCGACAGCAGAACCTGCCACAAAGTTCACAATCCTGTATAATCGACAGGGTTTTGAGTTAATTTTTATTTTTTAAAAATAGATACCTCTGACCGGTTAAATGCAAACCGCATCAACTGCTTCACAGCACGTCCTCCTCACAGTCAAACGCCTGCTCGTGCAAGTCCTCGGCAGCGGCAGGCGAACGCCCCCCCGGCGCCCGGCCCCC